TTTTTACAAGATGTGACATAAGTAAGAAAAAGAAAATGTTTCAGATGATTTGGGCTAGTGTTTGTAGTTCTACGTACACATCAGTATATCCCAGATGGCTTTATTTCACGTTGAAGCCATGACAATATAAATGATGTATTCGTTTATAGACTAAAATACTCTGACAATCCTTATCTTTTACTTGAATTACAAAGACATTCTCTTTATTTTAAAAATATATATTTTAGTCCAAACTATTAATACCGTTAAGAAAATACTCTAAAAAATTCGTGAAATTTTTTTTAATTCAAAACCATATTTGGATAAATATTGTTTACTAGTCTACTAATCATGATGCTAAATCTCTAATTTATCTTCTAATATTAATGTTTATTAATGATTTATTTAATATTTTTACACAATTTAAGTAACTTAAAATATTTACAACGTGATCAAAATCTAAATAATTTTTTTTAAAAAAAGATGTTTTATGAAATATATTTAAAATTTTGACTTATAATATATTATATTATTTTATAATTTTATAATTTAATTGAAAATATATATATGCAATTGCAAAATATTTTCAGCTAGCATATACACTTAAAAGTTACATCATGTATTTAAACTATTTTTTAATTTCATATAAAGTTATGTCATATGTGATTAAATAATAATTATTAAATAATATTTGTGTTGAGGAGGGGCATTTTGGTCAAAATGATGGGTCAACATTATGGCTTAATGGTCAACTAATGATATGGTAGATGAAAGTTGAATCTTAAAATTAGAAAGAATTATGCAACATATATTTTGATTTTAAGGGAGGTCCATATAAGTTTTCAAAATAAAATGGAAGTCTTGATAATTTAGATTAAATAGAGAAGAGGTTGATGTATTTTGTTCTAATTTATAACATATAATACTTTAATTGTCTGGATTGAAACCATGAGGAAACCATGAAGATTGAGTTGTAACAATCATAATTACGCGGACTGAGCTAAACTGCGTGAAACTTTAAGGATTAAAAAGTATTTTTCTTTTTAATATAATAAGGACAAATTAGTTTTATCATTTATGCTTTGCTTAAAAATATTAATTTTAATACGTATTTAATTAAATATTACCATAATTAATAATTTAAAGTTCTTTAAATGAGAAAGAGTAGACAATCAGATTGTAAGGATAAATTAATAATTTTTAAAATTTCTACATATCTACAAATATTGAAATTAAGTATTTTAAAATTTTAATCAAGTTTAATGTTTAAGGAATAAAATATTATTTATAAAGGATGTGGACTTGAAATGGCTTTCCAATACAATTTAATATTACGTATAATATAAATATCCTTCCTCCCAATCAAAAGCACAAATTTCGGCCAATTGTGGGAAAGAGAAGCAAGACCAAAATGGATAGAGAGAAAAGGAAGACAAGAGAGAAGGAAGAAGGAAGAGAGAAGAAGAAAGGGTCTTGGCACCAACAAGTTTGGAAAAGAGGTAAGTGATGAGATTGATTGTTGTTGGTGTTGATGATTATGTGGCTAAGTTTGATAATGATTTTCATGAGTTTTTGAAGTATGAAATCTAAGGAAGACATGCTGTACAATTTTGATTAAGCCATGAAAAGGATTAATTGAAGCTGGATTAAAGAATACGACGTAGAAAAGTATGTTAATTAAGTGGTTTTATATGAAAATGAAAAGAATTCAACTTCCCCTTATGTTTCATGAATTTTGGCCATAATTAGGGTTTGAGATAGAGAAGGAATTTGATGATTTTGATACTTCCAATGTGTTTAGAATGAAAAAATTGTATAAAGTAAAGATGAGAAAGTGATTTTGGAAGCATTAGAACTGAAATAAATTTTTTTGTCTAAGAACCCTAATGTTTTGGCCTAATATGTGATAGAGAGTTTTTGTAAATGCGGTGTGTAGCTCATATTTTGAATCTAATTGTTAGTGAAGGTCTAAAGGAAATGAATAAGTCAATTGAACTTATTCGGCATGCAATTAAATTTATTAGATCTCCAGCTAGGCTACAAAGGCTCAAGGAGCTCGTTGAAAAGGAAAAAATTGATTCGAAGAGTTTACTGACCTTGGATTGCCCCACGAGGTATTATTTGCACTATAATTGTATTATTTTCATATTATGTCAATTTTCACTTGATAATTCTTAATTGTTTATTTCATATTTGTCATGTGATTAGATGGGATTCAACTTACCTGATGTTGGAGAATGCCTTCAAGTTCATCAAAGTCTTTGATAGGATGGAAGAAGAAGATCAAGATTACAAGGATTACTTTAAGAAAAAGGCTAAACTGTTTTCAAACCAATAAGGTGTTGTCCTAAGTTATAATGATGACGATGATGATGCTAATGTCATTGAAACAACATTAGTAAGGGCTACAGTTGAACCACCTAGTGCATATGATTGGAGTGTGGCTAAAGAGTTTCTTGTGTTTTTAAGGTTGTTCTATATTAAGGCCCTCAAATTTTCTAAATCGAATTTTGTGACAATAAGCACATGCTTTCAGCATACAGTTGCAATTCAGACTCATCTTCATCAAAGTGTAGCTAGTGACTGCTCTCTCTTAAGTGGCATAGCAAGGAGATTGCAGACAAAGTATGATAAGTACTAGGAAAAAGCAGAAAAAATGAATCTATTATTGATCATAGCAGTGATCCTTGATCCTAGATTCAAGATGATAAATATTAAGATTGCTTTTGAAGATATTTTTCCTAAACTACAAAGAGTGAAGCCATGTTGAAAAAGACTATGGATGTCTTGTATCGATTGTATGATCACTATTTTGCTAGTGTTGTTAAGCTTGATCATGGTAAAGCATCTAAATCTCAATCAACAGTGGATCAACAGCAAGTACATGCTAGAACTGGGGATGATAACATTGACATGTTATTTCATGATGATATTGATTCTACATTTCAAAAGTTCTTGGCCACTGCAGATACTGTTGTTAATAAAGAGAAAATTTCTGAAGTGGATGAATACCTTCAAGCAGATTTAGGTGGTTTTCTAATCCAAAATTTGATGTCTTAGCATGGCGGAAAGTGAATGCTTCCAAGTATAGAGTTTTAAGTGTAATGGCACGTGACTTATTGGCCGCACCAATCTCTACAGTATCTTCTGAATCAGTTTTTAGTACTGGGAGTCGAGTACTAGATAATTTTAGGAGCTCTTTATCTGCAAAGATGGTTGAAGCATTCATATGTGCCCAAAATTGGCTATCTAGTAGTACTCCAAAACTCGATGACCTTGAACTAGATAATTTTATTAAGAGTGCAAATGTCGTTATTGGTATTTCAACCTTTAATAATATTTTCAATTTATATTGTTTTATCTTCTTATTAAATATTAATGAATTGATGATTTTTTTTTTTTAATTTGTTTTGTAGAGCAAGAGTCATTGGTTCCAAATACAGCCACTTCCTCAAGTAACTCTAAAGGAGAAGCTAATGACTATGATGATGATGATGATGAATTGATGATGATTGATGAGTGATTAATCCTTTATAATTTTATATTTGTGGTTGTCCTCTTTTGAAGTTTGAAGCCTTGAACATTAGAAATTTATGATGGTTTTTGATTGTATGGACTATGGAGTATGGATTTTGATTAATGGTATTATGATTTTCATCTCTTTTAAATTTGAACAGGTCCTGTCCATTGTCTAAATCTCATTTTGTTAAACAGGTTCATCGTAACCTGTTAAACCTGTCCATCTAAATCAACCCATTTAGGGATGGACTTAAACGGGGTTACGTACAGGTACGGACCAGCCTGTACACGTTAACGCCTAAACAGGCTACTCAGCCCTACCAAAGAGTACCTGATACAATGCAAAATGGCAAGAGAGGTGGAGGAATACCTAACGACTGTAATTTGCACAAATTTTATATTAATTTTCTCCCTATTTTAATGCCATAATGATGAAGGGACATAGAAGAGACAAGTGTATGGTTGGATGAATGACACATGTACTGTTGGATGCAAGACATGTGTACAGTCAGATGCGAGACTCGTGTACAATTGGATCAAAGACATGTGGCTTGATGATATAAGCATGATGTCATCAAGATGATATAAGCATGATTTCATAGGACACATGTCACTATAAGATTAAAAGAGAAAATGGACGGTCAAGATTAAGCCACATATTTTTAAGATCAACGGTCGAGATTTAGTCTTGTTTTCTATATATACCCCCTTCTCTCCCCTCCCCTTGTTTCATCATAACCTCATGGAAATCATAGGAAAACTCTTTCAAAATGAATTCTAGAGAGAGAAAGAAGAAGGGGAGAGAAAGGTCAAGTGATCCCATACAAGATCAAGCTCTAAAGCAAGGTATGTTCATAGTTTTTGATGTAGTTTTCACTTTCCTTGATTTTGTTGAGCTTTGTTATGGATTTTAATGATTTTTGAGAGCTCGAAACCCTAAGGGGGCATGCTGCACGAAATTGTTAAGGATAGGGGAAGATGAAATTGATGTTAGAATAATGTTTAAACGCCTGAAAAGAACAAGAATCAAGTGGTTTTATGTTGAAATTGGTTGAATTTCTTAATTATGTAACTTGAGTAATATTTCATCTAGAGCTGATTCACAAAGCTAGGATTGAATTTTGATGATTTTGATATGTCCAATGTGTTTAAAATGAAAAATTGTGTGGGTAAAGGTGAGAAAACAAGTTTGGAAGCATTAGAATTGAAAATGAAATTTTAAGCCCCAAGACCCCATGTTCAACCAGATCAGGTTGAGTAAGAAGGAGTTTGATTTTGATTATTTTGAGCTAGGAAATGGATTCTACATGTAAAATTGTGTATGAATAGCATGTGGGATTAATTTTAGAAGAGTTGGGAATCAAGCTCAAAAGTTAGAAGCTAATATAGCTCAAAGAAAACAAAGTGTTAATATTATTGATTACCATGACTCTAATAAATTAATAGGAATGATATGTTATGCATTTAGGGCCATGAGACATCAAGGAAAAGGAATGGAAAAGGCTGAGTAAGCAACCTTAATGTTTGGAAGCAAAAGGGAGCAAGAAGAAAGCTTAAGGATACAAGGTAGTGAACTTAACTTGTGTGCTTGATGTGTATGCTTGTGTGTTGATATGCATTATGCTGTTTGATGATGATATGAGATACTAATGCTAGCATGATGCTCTGTTTCATTGATGTTTTTCTATAGCCATGCATGTTTATGTGAAACATTGAGCATGAGAAAATGTTATAAGTAAGCATGATGAGCTAGATTACATAAGCATGTCATACACTAGCATCCATCTTGCATGCATAATGGTAATATTTGCTACTGAGATTCTCCTGAATCTCACTCCTCCCTAACCAACCATTTAGGTCAAGTATGATGGACAATGATTGCATGAAGGAAAGCATGAGAAGGAGAAGAAAGTGGAGAATTATTCATGTTAATGAATAAAGCTACTAGTTAATGTATAATTCTCCTATTATGTAACTTGTGTATATGAATGCCAATAATGTGATGTATTGGTTTAGAATGTTTATGGCATGAATAGAAATGTACAGGAATGAATCAGAAAGAGAAAACACAAGTTATGCATGTCAAAGTAATAAAAAGAATTAAAGCAAGAATTGTTTAATGGATAAAACGTAAGTCCCAAAGCAGTCAATTTTCAGCTACAGTTTGATCTATCAAATGAATGAGTTAAGTCATGAAATTTGACAGACGTATGATACACATCCAAGCTTTAAAATGATAAGCAGATCACCTCAGTTGGATGTGTATATTAAGAGATACGAATTTCCAAAGTTGAGCAAAGAAAACTGGAAGTTCTAGAATATACCAAATGAACAATGATTTTCATGGATAAAATTATACGAATTGGCTTGAGATAAGTCTAGTTTGATTATTATTTTTCCTATAGAGAATTAAAATAGATTTGAGTAGAATTTTGGAGCACCTCAATATGATTTTTTACAGAATTAGTTATGATTTTTCAAAGTTGGACCAAAAATCTAGAATTTAACCCGTGAATAGTAACCCGAGAACCAATTGCAAATTTTCAATCTATAGGCTTAGTTCGTGAATCACTTGAACTGTAACGCTTCTGAAGGCGTACTCTGAGAGGTTAAAAGAAGGATTTTTCATATTTTAGTTTCAAAGTAGCGTTATACTAATTTTAGACTGATTCTTAATAGATTATTTACATGTGTATGATGTTTGTAGACTCTCAATGAGAGATTTGGAATAATTTTGGTACTCATTATTAAGCAAAGGAGTAACGAGTAATTCTAAATATTCTCTCACATACATGTAAACTGCTTGAGTTTGTTCTCTGTTTCAAAGAAATCTTTGATTTAACTTCTTTAAGGAGTCATATTACCAGTTAATATTAATAACAGTTAAACTTGGGGATGGTTATAATAATTAAATTATAATGATAAATACTATTAGTCTTAAAATTATCTATATAACTAATTAGGCATATATACACACTATTGCATGTTATAGAGACTGTTAGATTAAAAGTTTGTGTGAAAGATTTAAATTTTGAATCTTAGTTTAATCTTTTCAAGCATGTTTGTGTATGTGATAATATATTGTTGGAATTGGAATTTTGTTATGACACTACATTATAAAATGAAATTATTTTTACTAGTGTTGACATATCTGTCATTGCATTTGCATTCATGATGGGTTAAGATCAAGAGGAGTTTGGTGCATATGATGAATTCTTTTACCATGTGGTAAGTCACTACTTAATGCATAGTCGATGGCAATTTTTAAGGCCCCTTCTTCCATGTTATCCTTTGCTCGGGATTACATTAGAGTTGTGAAACATGTGACACTTCCTTAGTGTTGTTCTTTCAAGAAGGGGAACCATAGTCTGGCTTGAGCCCTATACCTTTGGCTGGGTATCATCTTAAGTACTGGTAAGCTTCGGACAATCCAATCACATGGATTAGTTCTTAGACGCTAAGTATGCAAGGCTTTTGATTGGGGTGTTAAAATTTTGTTTTCTTCTTAGAGCTATGAGGTTGCGTTGCACATAAGCTAATAAGATTGACAACCCCTATGCCCAGAACAACTCATTCAAAAATATATTCCCATAGAAGAAAGTGATGGTATATATATGTCCCATTGCTAGTGTTTGAAGTAACTATACATATGTAGTTTTATTTATCCGGTTTAGTTTAATTTAATTTTAATTTCTTTTATAGTGTCCACGGCAACCAAAAGATAGTGCCGGTTATGGTTACTATGTGATGAAGCTCATAAAGGACATTGTCACGCACAATCCCCCCAATTCCTAATACTATATATGTGTGTATACTATTATATATATACCCATGCACACATATTGAACACATGGCTTTTGAACTTTATTGTTTGAGAATTTTTTTTTTTTTTGCATGCAATACTATGAGGACGTATATTGCGAAGAATATTCAAACTTTCAAATTGCAGAAGTCCTCAAAGAGTTGGCTGCTGTAATTCACCATAAGTGACTGACTAGAAGATAGCATTGTACAATATATATATATATATATATATAAAGTTAAATTACAGTAGAAAATTTTGATTTTCGTGTATATTCTCTTATACATAGGTTATAGGGACTTGGTCAACTTTTGTTTTCGTTATTCTGGACCTCTGGCCATTTGTTATACACACACACAAATTAGATTCTTACATACGAATTCATTAATGTGCATAAATGTTAGGAAATTACTTTCTTGTAAATACCATATTGTAAAATTGTGTGTATATATACACAAGTCTCTTTAATAATATAATGCAAGGGGCTACTTAAAAAGCAACACTGCGTAATTTTCTTTAAAAAAATATGAACAAATATGTGATGCTATAACGGAGAAGATGGTCACCTATTAATACCAAAACATAACGGTCCTCACTACGTCTGGGTCACATTTTTTTTTTAACTTTGATGATTGGGAAATTAAAACGGTCATGTATTGATTAAAATATGTAACGGTTGGTAAACATCACATATTCCTCTCAGAGAACGAATGACGCGCGTAAATGTGGGAGTTACTAACCATCATGTATTTTCAAAATTAACTGATATATATCGACAATTCTGTAATAGTAAGGTGTAGGTGATTCAGAAAGCACTTATACCTACTTACCTACTAATTCTCTAGATCAACAAATTAATTTTAAGTACATTTAATTAGGCAATTACGTGCTCTATTATTTGAAGAAAGCATTAGCCGCTTGATAGTTTGTTTTTATAATTGTTATTAAACCAGTTAGTTAGCCTAGTTTCAATTGCCCTTTGATCACTTTTTTTTTTTTTTTTATCCGCTCAACTTCATGAGAGTGAAAAATTTAATGCCTATTCATAAATTAACTTGATTTTTTTATGGGATCGATCTTGATTTACTATTAACTACTTGTTCGGCCATCAGTTTTTTGACGCCTATCAAAATTTTGATTTGCCATAGCCTATGCGGTGATACCTTTTTTATTCGTATTATATCTATCTATTTAATTGCCTATGTTATTGCTGTATTTATTTGATTTGATTTGAAGTCTTTATAATTAAATTTTTATTATCTTCTAATTCACTGCCTTTCTTAAATGTGTTTTGCAATAACTATAGCAACTCATTTTAAAAAAAAAACCCTAACATTATTAGGCTTTGACAGTTTCACAGTCTTCGCTTTCCTCTCTTCTCCCCAAATTTTCCACTGTTCTCTTCCACTCCTAACTCCGCCACGGTCATAATCGCATTGTAGATGTTGTTTTCTTTCTTCCTCTCCCTTCTAATGCATTGGGTTCTCTCCTTTTCGGGGTATTTAATTTAACGCTTGGAATCTTGAATAAATGATGCGAATACTTGACTCTTGAGATACGATTTTGACAATGTATTGGATGTTTTGATATTCATAATTTCTGAGTTGTTTGTGTGAATTTTCACTATCATGTTTCTTTTTTTGTTTGTGAAAGTTAATTTTTACGTCATTTTTTGAATGATTGTTTTGGTTATATTCTATAGCACTCAATCAATCCAATATGTAATACCTTTTGTTCTTAATATACGGGAAAAAATAATTAATTTGAGGATATTAAAAAAATTAGTTAAATTGGTTATTTATTATAAATATGTGTTGATCTTATTTGTAAACTATTCTTTTCAATTACGTACATTGGATTGTTAGAATTATTTCTTGGTGGGATCTCTTACAATTAATAAGGATATTTTGTAGAAAGATAGGGGACAAAGTGAATTGAGGTACTGCGTTAGTTCTTAATATATGACCTAATTGTTAAGTTGATCTTGATCTTAAATAATATCTATTTTTCATATTGATCAATTTTTTCTAAATTATCCATATTGATACTCTTTCAATTATAATTAAGTAGGAAAGGGAGAGAGGATATTAAGTAAAATAATTATGGTACTTTAGAGAAAACATATCACATTTTTTATAATTAACTAACTTAACTAATTTCTTTTATCTAATCAAATTAGTTAAATAAGTCTTATATCAAGGATTGGATGAGTATTTTATTTATAACCAAATCTAACTCCCCACTCATTCTTATATTAAAGACAGGAAATAATATTAATTTAACATATCAATCTTGATTTTATGAATTTTATTTTAATATTTGAGATATAGAAATTATTTAACGGTTTATTTCAAAAATAAAATTGGAATTTTCATGTTATAGCTATTTAACTCTTGGGAAAATTGGATTAAGGTCCCACCCAAGAGAAATAAATACAAAAAATTCTCTTAAAATCATCAAATTAATCTGAAGTCTCAAGTGATCTCATTGTAACAAATTTCACTTGTTCAGTTACTAAACTACCCTCATTTTTTTAAGTAGGCATTGACAACTAAAAGTATCATTGTTAATAATTTAATGTGTAACAATTAACAACTATTGCAACAAGTATTCAAAACACGTGCATCACATCTTTGTGATTGACTGAGAACAAAAAAATTTCTTAGAATTATCAAATTACTTTGAAGTCTCAAGGGACCTCATTGTAAAAGATTCCAGTTGTTCAATTACTAAACTACTCTCATCTTCTTTTTTAAGTGGGCATTGGCAACTAAAGTGTAGTTATTAACAATTTAAGATGTAACAATTGACAAGTATTAAAAACACATGCATCACATTTTTATGATGTATTGAGAAAATGTGATGCTAATGCTTGTCACGATAGTTGTTAGTTGTTACACCTTAAGTTGTTAACGATTATATTTTTAGTTGTTAATGCATACTACTAAGCGTTGTTAATATTTGTAGCCATACTTATTAATCATTGCACTTTAAATTGTTAACCAGGCCCTTTTTGAAACATCCTTCTATTTTTCCCCTTTAGTATGTGTGTGGAAGTGTTATAGTTCAAGCTAGTCACGAAACAAGCCCGTAGATTGAAAACTCATATTTAATTTCTTGGGTTACTATTCATTGAGAAATTTCAGATTTTTAGTCCAAATTTAAAAATTCATAACTAATTATACAAAAATCATATTGAGGTAGTTCAAAATTCTATTTAAAATTCTTTCAATTCTCTACAAGAAAAAAAATATAAATATAGACTTAACCCATACCAATTCACACAATTAGCTCGTGAAAGTTTACTCCTCATTTGATAAAAACTGTACTTTTAGTTTCCCTGTCCTAACTTTAAACAGTCATAGCTCCTAGTACACATCCATTTTAAGTGATATAGCACTTGTTTTAAAGCTCAAGATGTGTACTTTAACCATACCAAATTTTATGGGGAGATCCAATCAGTTGCCTGACTTTCACTTCATCAAAAGTTCATCGCTCATTTAGGGATAACTTATCCCTTTTACTTGCATTTATAATTTATAATTAATTCTTTTTTTGTATTTTACCATTCCATCTATACACTAACCATTTCCATACATCATCATATTTAGTCTTGCATGCCACCAACATCATTTAGCATCACATAACATTAATAGCTTATTCTTATCATACATTGGTATACAAATTACATAATGTAATGTCATGCATTTTTCTCAATTTTTTCCCTCTTTCCCTTGCTTTCACTTCATGCATCATATTGCTTGCTTTTAACACCTACTAGGATTGATTAAGGGAGGGTGAGATTTGAGAGAATCTCAGTAACAAACAATTACCTGTGTGTATGCAATACTAATGCTTGGGTAATGACATGCTTGGTTACGAGCTGTCATGCTTTTATGCTTATAAAATAACATGCTCTGATGCTCAATGTTTTATTCACATATGGCTATAAAATATATAAGAAATAAAGCAGCATTCAATCTTTCATAATCTAAATGATCATCAAGAACATCGACACACAAGCATACATATCAAGCACATAATAAGGGTAAGTTCACTACCTTATGTCTTTGAGCCTTTCTCTAGATCTCTTTGCCCCTTTTGCTTCCAACTATTAAAATTGCTTATTCGACCTTTACTATTCCTCTTCCTTGATGTCTCATGGCCCTAGATGCATCAACACATCATTGCTATTTATTCATTAGAGCCATGGTAACCAATAACATCAACATTTTGTTCTCCTCAAATCATGTTAGCTTCTAACTTTTGAGCTTGATTTTCAATATTTCTAAAATTAATCCCACATGCTATTCCCCCATAATTTTACAAGTAAAATTCATTTACAAGATCAAAATTATCAAAATCTAACTCTTTCCCCTAGAACCAGCTTTGGTCAAGCACATATGGTTTTAGGGTTCAAAATTCCATTTTCAATTCTAATGCTTCCAAACTTGGTTTCTCACTTTTACCCTACACAAGTTGTTATTCTAAACTCAATAAAAGTATTAAAATCATCAAAATCCAACCTTAACATGAACCCTAAGTAGGGTTCAAAAATTTTTTTTTGCAAACTTATCACAAAACCACTTGATTCCTGCTCATTTCAAGCCTTTAAATATTATTCTAACATAAATTTCATCATCCCCTTAACTCATAAATTTTGTGCATGTCCTTTTAGGGCTTCAAGCTCCTACAACTTTGCATAGAATGAGAGGGAGTGATATTTATAAAAAATTTATTTAAATCCTAGCCCTTGATCTTGTGTGTGTGGCTTGATCTTGGCCATCCATTTAGGAAATGTTTGGATGAAACCAAATCATGGTTTGGAAAATAGCTTCTGAAGAATAGATTCTTGGGAGAATAGATTTTATAAAAAATAGATTTTGTGAAAAAGTGATTTTCATAAAGTGAGAGTGTTTGAATAGTTATTATTAGAAGCACTTTTTATATGTGCAAATTACTAAAAAGGGTATAAGTTAATATGATAATAACATAAAATATAGATTTTATAATATATTTTAATTTAAAGGACTAAAATTGTTAATAATATATTTTTTACTAATATAATTAATAATATATAAGAAAATATAATTAATAAATATGTGTATATATATTTATAAAATATGAGATTAAAAATGGTTTGTAAAAAATGAATATTTTTTACTAACAAAAAAAATATTATTTTATTTTAAAGATTATACATATGAAATACCATGATATTTTTGACAAAATTAAATAAGCACACATAAAACAATTTGTTACTTATTATAGTAATTAATAATAAACACAACACACACACACACACACACACACATATATATATGATTCTCTCAGGCTCTCTCTTGTGCTGCATCTGAAACAATGAAGACAAGAGATGAATAATTGGGGAGGGGTATCTACGTTTGGGCAAAAAAAAAAAAAGCACATGTCCCATGAAGGTTTTGAAACTCTCTCTTTTTTTCCCAAAAACAGAAAATTTTTGTTTCTACCAAAACCATGGTTTTGGTTTTTTTCTTGTGTTTGGCTTAATTTTTGCCCAAACCATGGTTTGGACAGTTACCCAAACAGGGCCTTAATCTCTTTGGTTATGTGTCCCTTAGCTTCTTGATTCTTGTCACCTAACCCTCTTAAATGTTCCCTTCATTCAATAAAAGTGTCACCTCATGGGACACATCACATGTTACCTATTAGATGTGAAGAAAGTATAATATATTATTACATGATTCTATTCTTTCAAACTTAACCCTTAACAAAATGTATTAGTCCATTCATGTCCCCTTCTCAAATTTACCTTAAAATAGGGAGGAATTCGTGCTCCATCATATCCTTAGCTATTCCTCTATCTATTTTATGATTTTATGTCATATCGAGTACTTTTTCAGGCCCTAACTTATCTAGTGACTTTGGGGCATGTTTTGGTACCATTTTTTTTATCATAATTTACTTCACATGGCTTTATATAACATACCTAGAGAGAGAGTGATGCTCTTCTCTTGTTCTTCTATTAAAACATTTAATAATATTTATTTCAGAGTAAACTTGACCAAATTCTCTCTATCGATCCATAACTCTGAGAATTTGTCTCTTGGTACTAATACTATCTTTTCATCATGGGGAATTTGTATAATTTTTCTCAAGTCAAAAGTCAACACATAAACAGTTTATTTTGATTTTTCCTAGATAGTGTATAAATAGGCTTTAAATTCTGTTAAAGCCAACCTCTTCTATTCTTGGGACATAATCATTTTTAAAACCTGTTATAATTCATCAAGTATCATTTTTCATTTTTATCTAATTATTTAAGGCCTCCTCATATTTTAAATAATCTAATTTTGGCTAATATTCATACTTGGTCAAAACCCTGGGAATTTCATCAACTTGTTTCAGGGGTATTTTCATCTATTTTTTTGAAATTTTCTGAGATTTTTCTAGAATTTTCGGGTATAATTTCCATCATTACCCTTTTCTGCTAAAAACTTTCTGAATTTACAATTAAATCCCAGCTCAGATTTAACCTTAGGAATTATCTCACTGAGGTTCCAAGTACAACCTTTGACCTTTAATCATCTCCAATTCTCATACTTGAGTCTTTGAGACTTTATTGAATTCTCTAACTTGCCTTTCTTGTGGTTTCAAAAAACTCTTACTATGTAGTTTGGTCTTTGAGAATCCTCCTATTTTTCCAAAGAACTTCTACAACTCCTACTAAAAAAAGTCTAATCGTCTGTCCATTTCAGACTAATTCTGGTAATTCTAAACCCAAAATATAACGTTACACTTTTAATTGTCAACATACACTTCAAAAAAAGTGATAGCAGTTTAGTAACTAAATAAATGAAATATGTTACAATGAAGTCCCTTAAAACTTCAAATTAATTTGACAATTTTGAAGAACAAATTGTATTTATTTATTTTGGATAAAACCTTCATGTAATTTTCCCTTAATCCACAGGTAAAATACTTCGATGAAGTAGTTGATAGTTAGACTCTTTTCTCAATTTGGAAATTAAGGAAAATTTTAAAACTTAATTAAAAGCAATTATAACAGACCGGCTTAACTTGATATAAAAATTAAAATTAAAATTATTAAATGAACAAAATACATAAATTTATTTAACAGCCATCCTCCCTTCCAGCCTCCAGGACCCGTACAAACGCTGAACTCAACGGCGAAGGGCCAGCTAAGGCCCTTCTTAACTTGTTAAAAACTGTGAAACGCCACTATAGAAAAGCGAATTACCACAGCATTAGATGAAATTAATATGGAGAAAGTTCTGAATTCGTTTCCACTTCGCTTTTGAAGAGTAGCGACCCAAATCAACCATTCCCCAATCCTCCGGTACCCGGCAATTGGCAAACATACATCCGCCCCAGGAACCACGTAGAGGAATGTGATATAATTTCTAAAATTTAATTTCAAGAAATGCTAATGCAAACTAAATTTGTCAAAAATATTATTCATGCAATGAGAACCTTGATTTTAATCATAATAATAACTACTCAATCTGATGAAACATATCGCTATCTATTACCCAAAAAAAGAAACATATCGTTATCTACAATAACCAAAAACTACTCCACATTAATACAAATTACTTGTAACATATTACAGTATATCATTTTATTTCCAATTTATCCATAGAAATTTAATTCAATTCAATCCATTTTTATCTAGTCAAATTACAACTACTGTACCATACACAGGAAAAAATCTAGTTACCTTATATGATGGTATTAAAATTACAAAACGCCATACTGTACTAAGATTTCCTTTTCCCAGCATCTCCTCATCCAGCTAGTGCAATTCATCCTGTAGTTATGCAGCCGAACCCTCATTACTTAATTTTTTGCTGTTCTAATTTCTCCAGTAAGGCTGCCTTGTCATCATCCGGAAGAGAATTGAACATGAACACGGACTTGTCACCAATGTCATCCTTCATACAAAACCAGGGTCAATGTTATGAATTTTTGGTATGGAACGTTTTCCGAGAAATCTTCAGCCAAAGACTAAATTAAAATTACTTTGACTGGTTGAGTAAACTTCCTCCCAGCAAATATCACAAAAAGGACCATCCATGCAGCAAGTAGAGCAAGTTTAACTTCATTATCCATTAAGCCAGTCTGCAAATTTAGAGGTGAAAAATAGCAGTCTAACGCACACAACACACAAGGCATCACAATTTATTATTCCAGATACACATACAACATGAATTACTGATTCAGGGCTAGTTAGTTTAATACTAACCCCGGTCCTTAATATAAAAGCTAGTTTGACATTTTTTTGGTCCTAAATATAGGACCTCAATCCACTTTGCTCCCATATTTATCCATTTTTTCCAAAGTAGTCATTTCAATAGTTACAAATGTTAATAATTCCATCAAATAGTAGTTCTAGCTAATACACATGATTAGCATGGGTATTCTATGGAAGATTAACACCTATTTATTACAAATAACTAACTTAACAAACTTTATTAATCTACTCAAATTAATCAATTAGCTCTTATATTAAGAATCAGAGATAGTATTAAGACAAAAAAGATTTTTGGTAAGGTAAACATGATACAACTATCAGAGCAAGAGTAAGCATAGCGCCTATTGAAGAGAAAATGATCGAACATCATTTGAGGACATGTGCAAAGGGCAAAAAAAGACCAAAGAAAACGCTCAATAAGATCATTGAATGAGATCTTCTAGTCAATAACATATCTAAAGACTTGGATGTTGATAGAGCACAACAGCACTGTGCGATCCTCATAGCCGACTCCACCTAATGGGATAAGAGTTGTTCTTGTTGTTGTAAACATGATGCAACCATCACTTATGTAATCTTGTTTTGATAGATCAATTGGATTACCTTTTTCAAATAGTCACTTTCTTGAAAAAGCTAATTAAATACCTTATCAAAATATGTTGAAAACGGGCTTTTCAAATTATCCATATTATGGTTGTTTCATCTTAAACAAACTGGCCCCTTATTTACTGAAAGAAAAAATGCTTCTATTTATTTGATTACTAGTAGAAAAGTCATAATTAGAGCCCATGTGGTCGTTAATTGACAATCTAAATTAACCCAAATGTTATCCTCCCATAAATGGCTTTGCCTAACCTCTCAAGACTTAGTTAGATGACAAAGATCAGCCAAGACAATATTATTTGAAAGAAAATAGCGGGTAGGCTCGAATCAATTATTAGGCCATAAGGTCTTTAGTTGGCCCTAGATCATGTTTTATTGTTAATCTTGTACTCCCTTTTTGAAAACCCCCCCCCCCCCAAAAAAAAAAAGACTTCCCCCAATCCTAAATGTAGGAGCTAGTTAAGAGTTTGTTTTGGTCTTAAATACAAGATTTTAATCACCTCTGTCTCCTATATTTACTATGGTTTTTTGTTTTTTGTTTTGTTTTTTTTTTTTTTAAAAACACAAACTACCTTAACGGGCAGATTCTTGTACGATGTATAAGCTATGTGGACAATACTCCAATATCAATAGTTAAAGGGAGGGGTATTTTTAAAAAAGTCATACACATTTTACAAATAAACAACTTACCTAATTTTCTTAATATCTGTGGATTAGAAACTAACTCCTATGTTTGGAACTAGTGGGAAAGTTATTTACGTGGATAGAACTAAGATGATTAGACAGAAGAAATACCGGAAATTAATGCTCAGTGACTTGCAGAAATCAGTGAGAATATGGATAAAAACCAAAACCAAAAAAAAAAAAAAAAAAATTAAAAAGAAAATATTCTCTTGCTTTTGAGAGGCTACTAAGCTTGAGACGACCAGGTTGAATTCTGCTCTCCGCTCTCAGCTCATGCTTCGTGATATATATAACAGCAACCTTCAGTCTCACTTCCCTAGTCCACACTTGCTTCTGTTAGTTACTCATTAATTCTGTCATTCCCCCTCCCATGACATCACACTACTAGTCCAAAGTGACTTATGTTCAAATTTCTTCTTTCACCTCGCATATGATTTCACCTCTTGATTCCAGATATCGGAATAACAGCCCTGGACCCATGAGTCTGTTAAATAGCCATAGCTTTGCCTAAAGCAATGAATCATTTTGATTGCGAAAATTTTATTATGAAACTAAATTCAGAGGCTTTATCTTTAGAAGATAGAATAAGGAGAGAAGCGACCTTATAGGAGCACATATCAATAACCCATGCTCACTACTGACTTTGCAAGAGCAAAAACGGACTAGCGGAATAGGAAAAACTAGAGCCAAAAAGATGTTGAAAAAGACATCAAAGTCACAGGACAGCAAGAACTCAATATAGCTAGAGGCATAAGAAGCTAATTGCTACTGATTTTTCTCTAGTGCAAAAGTACCAGTTTGAATGAGAGGAAAATGAATTTCATGCAGTTAAGCCTTAGTTGGCAATGAAATATTAACTAAATCAGCATACAATTGGGAGCTATGGAGTCGTTTTTCACATCTAACACCAAAAACAATGCAGTTAATATAATCTTTCCTAATAAATATATATTCTGACGAGGAAAAGACGAAGTTGTTTAATCATCTCACCAAACCACATCATTTGTTAAAGCAGACAATCAACTAACCACACTTTGAGATAAATAATTACAGATGTAAAGAGAAGAATACCAGATGGCCAAGAAGAACAGTAGGTATAACAAATGTCAGAAGTCCAGCTTCCAGCTTGCCATAGCACAATCCTGTTCAGAGATAACAATATCATTTTCGGGGAAACTGTCAACAATGAAGCTTAAATGTCTTCTACTCTCACTCCTTTGTATCCTTGATAATGATAATTAATCAGACAACTTGGAAAATAAACACATAAATCCAGAGGTAATTGAAGAAAATAGATGATACATTACCTTCCTTGAAGACTAGTCCAGTCAAGGCAGCAAACAAAGGACCAACAAGCCAGACAGTTGAAGGATTATCAAGAATACAATGTATCAAACTTTGATTAGCTGGTTGAGCAACGGCTATGTAGGTTGCGCATGATCCAAGAATGCCAAGCACCCACAGTGCTTGTAGAGTGCGCTTTATTTCAGACACATATATGTGAATCAATAAGAGAGATAAGCCTAACCCACAAGACCCAGCAACATACAAATAATCATGATTCTGCTTGATAGTGGAACTTAGTAACGAATCATCAGGCAAAAAGGCTGCAGATGCAGCAAGTACAAATGATGAAGCAGCTATCACTAATCCTGATCTGTACAAAATCACCTGCCATAGAAAGCAAGGTCTCAGTGAAAAGGCTGAAAATTGCCCACATTGCACAGGTAACAAATTACATGACATAGGATATGAGTAGTTCCAACCAAGCCTAAACAAGTTTGGTCCAGAAGAAAACAATCATTAGCCTACAAAAGAATGAGCAAAAGACAAAAAGATTCCTCCCAAAACAATGTGGCAGCATCGAAACCAAACCGAACAGGATAGTATTTATGATATCTCCCGTGCAATGATGCAGGAAGCAAGCAGCAAGAAATTGGACTAAATTTACGCATGATAGTTCAAGGGCTTAAATGCATGCTTATACCAGCCTCTGAATCACGTTATACTCGATCTTCATTGATCAACTAACTATAAACCAGAATAGACTTACGCAAAAAAAAAAAAAAAAAAAAAAAACGAAGAAGAAGATAATATCGAATGGGGAAAATATAGAATCGATATGGCAATTGATTGAAACTTTCAACTCCTGTCACTAACAAATTTATAAAGATTACCATATGATACAGTGTTAAATATAGCAGTACATTTATGCATCAAGATCACTGAAGTCTCTACTAGAAAACCTAAGCAGAGAGAAACTAAAATAAGGAATAGAAAAGGGCATGTGAAGTGATGTGGCAAGTAAAATTATAAACACGGACAGGCAGAGCACCTCTCGAATGTCGGATTTGTCCACGGTCCATGGCCCGTAAAGCCCTTGATAAACTACTGAATTATCGAAGGACCTACGATTGTTTTGTCCCACAGCTTTACACCGTACCGACCCAACGGAAAACGAAAGTCTACCGGTTCTACTTTTGCAGGGTGAAGAAGACTGCCACCATGTACGGTGTCCTGCTTGCGGTTTCCAAGGTGAAACGGTGACCGCCGGCCTCACTGCAGTCGCACTACTACTCAACGCTTGGGATGCCATGGGCGATTGTCATTTTGGTTTTCCATTTGCGCGCATTTAATATTTTCTAATTTCTCACGTGAAAATAATGACTATAAATTTTATAAATTTTGACAGAAACTTTGGTAACGAGAATAAAAAATAAATGGTAAAAATTCATATTAAAATTTAAAAAGTAATTTCTTATTATATAAGATTAGACAATATTATATAAGTGGGATTGAGAAATACCATATCATCTCATGGTATTTCTCATATGAATATATGTAATCTCAAGTAGTAAGTAATCACACATACTAAACATTCTTTTAACGTATTTTTTTAATTTCGATGACAATTCTTACTCCCTTTTTTAATGTTTCAGATTAAACAGAACCTTTGTTGTTTTTTGTGAAAATTTTGATAGAAACTTTTCAAGGGGATGATATTAGGATTAACTATTGAAAAAAAAAAAGTCACAAGTTTAAAAAAAGGAAAAATTAGAATAAAAGACCGAGAAAAATACTTGGGAAAAAAAATGAAAATATCCTCCAAAATACTAATGGATAAATTGGAGTAGATAAATTTTAAAATTTCAAATCAAAGCCCTTGCACTATTTTGGAATTTTAAAATATTATAAAATGACAACACTGTCTTTATTCCCAATGACTACTTTTATATAGTTATTAACTACTTTTATTTTCAAAGTTTCAATGATTACTTTTATGTAACTATTAACTACACAAGAGTAGTAAATAACTAAACAAAAAGTAGTTACTAGATCTCTAATAATACTTGATGTATTTTTTGAATTTTTGAAACAAAAATAGTCAGTAACAAAAGTAAAGTAGTTAGTAGCTAAATGAGAGTAGTCACCAAAATTTTAAAATGAAAGTAGTCAAGTACAATACTAGTACTATAGTAGTCAATAGCTAAATAATGATAATCATGGGAGTTTTAAAAACAAATGTAGTAGTTAATAGCTAAGAAAAAGTAGTCACTAGAGATCTGGCAACTGGGTATTGGAGTTCCTCTGACATGTCACCGAGGCTCCGGCAGCTAGCCACTAGCCTCAGCATTTCCGGCCATCAAAGCTTGAACACAGACGACCTTGCTAGTGTTCAAGCTTTGATGGCTGGAAATGCTGAGGTGACAATATTTTCAAAAAAAAAAAACAAAGAAAGGGCGTTTGTGTAATTTTATAAGATTTGAAAATTCTAAAATAATTCAAGGGGTTTGAATTGGAATTTTCAATTTCACCGTATCCTTTAAAATTTCTAGGGTATTTTATTGTCTTCTTTTCAAAATATCTAGTTAAAGAATCATAAAACTTAGAATATTTTAAAAGACCAAATATTAAAATATAAGTTTAGAAAGACTAAATTACTGATAACTAATCATTCTGTATTCTTTTTTATGACATCTCAATTATTTGACAGTCAGTGAGTTCCATCTTTCCCATTAGCATGTACCTCACTCCATACAAAATCAGAAAACCATTGAAACTCATCGTACGCATTTGTGAGAAGCTCTTAATCTATCAGTGGTTGTTTTCGGATGTATTTGATGCATGTTTGTCCCCCCACCATCAACATACTGTTTTGGCGTTTTGGCCTGTTGAGAAATATTCAATTGGTTTTTCCTTCTGCTTCTACAATTGCAAGTCATATGCATATTTGTAGTTAATTTCATAGTCTGATCTTAGATTTTCGCATGTTCTGTAGACATGGATTAACATATAAGCTTTATTGACTTGTCTATATTTTATTTATTCACTGTCACTATCGTATGTCGAGCTTGGATAGCTTGTCAGTGCTGGAATTGAGGAGAGAAGCCATTGAATAAAAACAAGTGCGGAAGAATCGCAAAGGGAACGAAGGAAGTGGACGGGAGTAATTTGGTATTTTAAGATCTATATTTTAATATTTAGTCTTTTTAAATAATTTTAATTTTTGTTATCCTTTTTACTAAATATTTTTCCTTACTGGTCTGTCCCAAAAAAATTAGTTAACTGAAATTTTCTCTTTTAAATAATTTGTTTGTCTAATATCCCAAAAACATCTGGTCCTTCGGGGAAGACTGCTTGCCGCCACTGGCCATCCCCGCCCACTCCTGACTAGCAGTCTGCCCTTCATGTCAAACATGCTGTCCCCAAAAGGGAAAAACTGAATAATAATAATACTCCTCCGATCCTTAATATAAGACCTATTTAACTAATTTGATTAGATTAAAGAAGCTAGATAAATTAGTTAATTATGAGAAATGTGATGCGTTTTTCCTAAAACACCATAATCATCTTTCTTAATACCCTATCTCCCTCTTCTACTTGATTATAGTTGAGGGAGTATCCATAGGGGTAATTTAGAGAAAATTGATAAATATGAGAAATGGGTCTTATATTTAGGACCAAAACCAACTCAATAATTGGGTCCTATATTAAGGACCGGAGGAGTAATAATAATAATAATAATAATAATAATAATAATAATAATAATAAAATCTCTAATCATATAATAATTTTGGAAGAGAGACAAACAAATATCCCAAATTAAATCTTAATTCGAGATCTCAAAATGGCCTAATTATTGTAAAGTCTTTAGAACTTAGGTAAGAGATTAAATTATATAGTAAAATTATCTAAATATACCTCCTTAATTTTAAATCTGAAAAAATGGAAAAACGAAATAACAACACAATTCAGCAAGGCAACAACTACCTTACCAAATGACAACAATAACTAAGACACTGACAACTTTCAGAATAATTTCTTATTAAATATCATGATAATAATTTAATAAGTAATAATTTTAACTTATCAAATAAGAACAACAATTAAGACAATGATAGCAAATTTCATTAATGATAATCACGTCATTTAAAACAAACTTAATTTCACAATAGTTTCAAAGGACTTCATAAAATTAAGCCATTTTGAGAGACTTGAGATGAAATTAGCGAGAAGATTATTAGACTTTCTAGAATATTGTTGGAAGTTGCGAGAGTTTCCGGCATCGAAGAGATTAATTAGTTCAATTTTCACTTAATCTCAATGTTCTAAGTCTTTATCTTAGTATTGACAACAATAAAAGAGTTATATCTTAAGCCATTTAAGAGCAAAACATTAAGATTGCATCTTATTATATAAAGACTGCTCGGTTCGAGTTAGTAGTTCAAATCAGTATATCTATTCCAACTTTATAAATGTTAAAGTAGGAAGTTCGAGTCACACATTGGAACATTGTGTATCTCAAAGAAATCAAGAGAGTTGTTTGAGTCATACATTCATACATACTACCTCCGGTCTTAATTATAAGACCTTGTTTGTAAACTACAAACGAGGTCTTATAATTAGAACCGGAAGTATTATGTTCTACAGTGTTATTAACAAAGTTGTTCGAAATAGGAATTCAAGTTAAATTGTGTCGCCATTACAAATATTTTAATATTTATTATTTGTGATAAATCACTTGAATTAATTTTTGAAATATGTTTATCAATATTACTAACTTATTATTTTCAAAAGAAAAGTTTATTTTTCAAGCGGAAAGCATTAAATGAGCAAATGACTATTTTACTTACCAAAGCCACTTTTTTTTTTTTGTCAAAAGTAAAGTGAAGAAAGAATTGTTAGTCACCTTAGCGAATCAATACAATATAATGTATAATTCAAGTTGTACTTATCTTAGAAAGCCTTAAAAATTCCTAAGTAACTAAATATGTAAAATATATTAATTGACTTGGAAAATGATTAGTTTTCTTTTTTAACTTACTGTAACACCTCAAGCAGATAATCTACATACTCAGCCAAAGCATTTCATAAATAGCTCATAAGTATTTCTAGTCTCTAAATCAACCAAAAAGAGTATTGCAACTCCAAACAAAGCATGTCATAGTTTCAAAATAAATCCTTAGAGTGTCTTAACATAATAAAATGATGTCTTAGGGTTATAGCAAATAAGATAACATGTGCTCAAGAAGCATCAAAGAGCCTTCATAAATCACTCCATTGATGCCTTTTATTACTTCCTTCTACATCCATCACCTAAAAATGTTAATAGAATGGATTAGATCTAACATTTCAATAACAACTAAAACCCCTAACGTATACATACAAAACACATATGTTAATAAAACTACATATAAACAAATTTGTATTTGTACAACTCAAATGTTTAAATTCTACCGACACTCTAACATTAATCCAATAATATATGCTATAAATATTCATTCACAACATGCATTTCATAACAGTATATGTATTATGCAATCTCTCTTATATCGTCGTCTATCCTATTCTGCTGATTGGAGGAATAAGCTAACACATAGTCCAATAGTTACCAAATGAACAGTAAAGTTTTAATGAATAAACTGTATGAATTGGCAAGAGATAAGTCCAGTTTGATATTTTTCCCTTAAAGAGCATTCAAAGAGCTTTTTGTAGAATTTTGGAGCACTTCCATACGATTTTTCTAGAATTAGTTATGATTTTTCAAAGTTAGACCTGTAATCTGAAAATTACACAGTGAACAGTATTTTTCCATAAATCAGTGTCTAGTTACGTTTTTATGAGCTTAAGGCCATCCAAAGTAGTCTAAAATGGTTTTAAATAAACTTTAAGGCATTACATAAGTAAGGTGTGACAAGTAAGGCCTAATCACCCAGCACAATCATACGATATAAATGAATGGCTCGTGCCTAAATCAAACATTGCACACACCATACAATCATTGATACTAATCATACCTTAGATTATCTTAGACGACTTATGAGCCTCCTCCAGCATCAAGGCAAACACTCTGCCTTGAGTTGGCGACTGAGAACTATCAATACATTGGGACACTCCCTCACAAAATGTCTGGGGTTTCCATAATGATAGTACAAGTTCTGACCTGCTATGCACTGCCAGTATCTGTGATTTCTTCCACAAGTTTCACAAACTTTGACCTACCTAAAAGTGTCAGGTCTCCCTCGACACAAACCCTTCTTGGGCTTTTTGTTAAAATTAAATTTTCTCTTCTATAGGAAAGTCCCTCGATCATCA